TGCTTTATTGTTCTCTTTATGTCTTTGTAACATCTTTTTCTGTAAATATTTTAATTGCAGCATTTTGACCTTTTTAGTAATAAACCCTATTTTGAAAAGTGTTGAAACTGTCTCTAAAGCTTTTAATGCAAACTAAAGAATCCCTGTCTCTTGAAGAGTGCTACTGTATGTCATGAACAACATCAGTAAATAGATGCAATAAAATGACAAACACATGTATAACCTACATGCCCCAGACCAACTGGTGTAAACGGAAATTAATAGTGATCCCAATGCGGGATATGAAACAAAGTTAATACGTGAAACCACAAATTGTGGTGAACGTGAAAAAAAAAGAAAAAGAGGAATCAGGCTAATCGCCTGTGAACAACTAACAAACACTAAATAAACAAATATGTGACCCCCCTACAGGGGATAAGTGAACAGAAAAATAGGCTATAGTGCCTATATATAATGAGGTGACACGTGACCCTAAATAGGGGTTCTAAATAAACATGAAAATATGTGACGCCAAACAGTGCCTCACACTATCCATATAACCACAATCTTACATCTTCAGTGGATAACCACCTACCAACATGAACTTAAAAGTCCAAAACTTAGAAATAATAACATGTCCTAAATAATCACAAATGTGAAATAAATGTCCAATTAATAGAAAAAGTCCAGAACAGTCCAAACGATGGAGGTGTTCTGTAGTCCTTTAATCACCATGGATCTGAAACAGGATACTATAAATCCCACACTAGGTGCAATGGCCCCTCACCTCCATGCGGTGACCCTGCAGGGTCAAAACGCCCTATGGTAACAAACACCACCGGTCTGGAACCCGGACCCTCTCCAACGGATGTCAGGTCCACCGCTGTGTCAGTTTCCCTCACTGGTGGGCAAGGTCCCACACGTAGCCTCCTCAAAGTGGTCCTAGAAGTAATAGCTCCTCATATGGCCAAAGAGAGAATAAAAAATGCTCCCATAGTGTATTAACATTTTAATGACTCAATTGGTAAAAAAGTTACACATCCCACTCACATGTATCACTGAAATAATAAGCTTTTGTACATATCCACATGCTGTGGGTGTACTTTACTTTGATCTGAATAGGAGTTCCAAGATGGCGTCCACGCCGGAAGTTGCGTCAACACGACCGTAAGTTGCGTCACCACGTGCCCACGCGTTACATCACGATGACACATGACTTCATAAGGCGATCCTGATGAAGTCACGTGTCATCGTGACGTACCGTGTGGGCACGTGGTGATGCAACTTTCGGTCATGTTGACACAAATTCCGGCGTCGGCGCCATCTTGGAACTCCTATTCAGATCAAAGTAAAGTACACCCACAGCATGTGGATATGTACAAAAGCTTATTATTTCAGTGATACATGTGAGTGGGATGTGTAACTTTTTTTTGTAACAATCCTCTGAACATACTTGTCTGTGGTGACAGTGTGTGTTACAGACACTTATGCTAAAATCATAGTGTTATTGCTGGATTTGTGAGTTTCCTCCTTTTCTGTAAAATGGTGGTGGTGGCAGTGTGAAGGGTTAATTGCGTAATTAACTTAACCCAGTAACAATCGGCTGCTGGCACATAGATTGTGGTCCTGCGAGCTGGAAAATCCTTGTGCAGGGCGCAGCTGAGAGTGCCATTGTTACGCAAGTGACAGTGCGGTGCAAGATCAGCTGGTCCTTTAGTCACGAGTTGGTGAGAAGGGTAGTGGTCTGGCACCGTGTTCCGTCACAAGCATCCCAGATTTTCAAGTTGTGTAGCACTACCTCCTTAGGAGTTGCTGAAGTTTTGGGTCCCCCTATAGTCCTGCACAGCTAGGCAACACCATTTTCCACACAGACCTGCATTCAGGAGTCAATAACCAGTACTTGAGCTTGTTTTTGGATTTTATTGGGGGGTTTCATCTTGGATACGGTAAAGGGTGTATGGGATGCCCAATGGAACTGAGAACAACTTCCTGAACTATGTACAAGTGGTTACAGCAAAGTCTCTTTTTGTAGAGCATCCATCCTGTAGTACCACCACAGACCCTAGATGCTCCTTATCCAGCTGTTCTGGGTGAATCCCTGAGCAGGATATCTAGTGTCTGCCACATAAATAGTAAAACAGTCCTGGGTGGCAGGCTAATTCAGCTTCCCAGTAGAGTGCCTTCTCTTTTCTGGCCCAGGGGGTGCAGGTCTACTCACTCAGTCTTCCTGTGCTGCTGGTGGGTCGGTGGTTGTTATTAGGCCTTTTAACTGGGCCACTCCTTCCCTGCTGCACAGGTGGTCCTCGCTCTTGGGGCTGGTGAAGGTCTGAGCTTTCCTCCGTCCAAGCAAGGGGTGTATTTACCACAAGGCAAACAAGGCATTTGCCTAGGGTGGCATTTTTTCAGGGGGGCAGTGGCATTTTTCCCGGGGGGGGGAAGAGCTGTCCCCCAAAAGAAGGGATGAAAGAAAGGACACACACAGCATAGGGACCAGGTGGGATCTGAGAGAGGCTGTGGGCTGCTTGATGGTGTATGCAGAACCTGACTCTTGTTCCCCTGGATGTCCAGAGTTGTGAAGGTTTTTCTCTCTCGTCAGGGTAGGTTAGGTTGCCAACATATGGGGGGCGGTGGTAGTGGAAGGCTTTCTTGGGTGTGGGGGCTGGGGTGGGGTGTTGTTGGTCAATGTCAGGCTCTTATCATGGGGAGGGGGGTGTTTGTCAGTGTCAGGAGGGGAGCCGATTTTTGTGTTGCCTAGGGCAGCACGAAACCTAACTACACCACTGGTCCAAGCTCCACTGCCTGTAGGTGAGCCCCTCCATCTGGGCCCTCTCCAAGGCTTCTCTCTCCAGTCTCACTCCATCTCCAACGTTCACTAGAACTCTCTTGCAGCTGAGCATGCTTGGTTACTCTTAAAGATTGCCCCAGCCCTTTGCCAAGGCTCCTGTTGGGGATTGTCCAGGATTCTCCAAGAGCACTGACCAGCCACTCCTCAGATCCACCCACTGCTTCTAGAGCTTTCTCCAAAGTTCTAGAACAAGGGGAAATTCCAGAAGTCTTGCCTGCAGAGCCTGTCATCTCTGACCACAATTTGACACCTGCTAGTTATCACACCTAGGCTGCTAATCAGCCCTCCTAGCTAACAATTGAGGTCTAGCTCTCCCTAGCTAACTAAGAGGGTGCTACAGTTGGTAAGGTGTTTTGCAGTAAAGTAAAAATGGAATTTTAGATTGAAGTTAAAAAATTGTGAAGGAAGGCTTTTATTGAACAAGAGATAATATGCAGATCGCAATCTAAAAACGCCCTGGACTTCAAGTGGATAAAGCTGCAGTCATGAGCTTGAGATCATTTTTTTTCAGCTGGTGATTGACTTCTCAGTAAAAGTGATCCAGGAGGCTCTACAGGCACCTGATAACTTTTGCTAGAGCAACATTTCTAATCAGGGCTACTGTGAATACAGACAGGTGGGGAAACCAGAGGAAGACAAGTGTGACAGACACACATATGAGGAGAATGTAACATTGTCAGTGAGAGTATGGGAAAGGATTACTGGGAAGGATAGCAAAGAGGTGGTACATGAGCAGTGGAGGTGTGTACCTGGGTGTATGCCAGAACCCTACAGTACTGCGAACAGGAAACAAAAGATGCCCTTTTGCAAAGAACTGTGAGGGGAAGTAAACATTGGGGAAGAGATCACAGATAGGGATGTGAAGTATTCTCATGCAGGCTGTAAAGCTAAACAGGAGGCAAGAATGCACCAGTGGTTGACAGAAAACAATGAGTGCTCTTTTCTTTTTGGATTATACTGGACTTTTATTAAGTCTTCCCATTTGTTTTGCAGCTGTTGGATTGCTTACTGTTTTTATCCACCATGGATCTTATCCCTCTAACATTGAAGGTACATATTTTACCCCAGAATCCCTAAAGTCAACATTTTGTTTAAGGCCCAATGCACATGGAGCTTAAAAAATGTTGCTTATACAAGTGTTTTTTCTTTTTTTTTTTTTCAATTTTTTCTTTGTTTTTTTTTTAAGCTTGTAAAAGCAACTCTGTGTTAGCCTAGACCAGGGGTCTGCAACCTTTAAGACATAAAGAGCCACTTGGACCCGTTTCCGAAGGGAAAAAAAAGACTGGGAGCCGCAAAACCATTGCAACATTTAAAACAAATCCAACACTGCATATATTGTTTCTTACCTTAATGCTATATACAGGATCGTGCAGTTAGCTGTCAATCTGAAGAAAAAAAGAACTTTTTCACTTAACAATGTAAAAAATATATTTTTGCACATTATTAGCTAATTAAAATATTTAATTTATCTGGTTAATGGGATTTTTTCTCCTGAACCTCAGTGCACAGTGTCTGCACATCAGGGCTGTAAGACGTCACCTTCATTTTCACACAGGCTTGCAAGCTGTCATCTGTGAGGCGTGATCGATGTTTGTTTTTAATATAGTTCATGTTGGAGAAGACCTGCTCACATACATATGTGGAGCCAAAGATCGATAGCACTCCAAATGCATACTTTTTATTTTGAGAGCCACATTTTTAAAACTGAAAATACATCCCCCATATAGTAATTCATCCCCCATAGTAATTCATCCCCCATATAGTAATTCATCCCCCATATAGTAATTCATCCCCCATATAGTAATTCATCCCCCATAGTAATTCATCCCCCATATAGTAATTCATCCCCCATAGTAATTCATTCCCCCATAGTAATTCATCCCCCATATAGTAATTCATCCCCCATAGTAATTCATCCCCCATAGTAATTAATCCCCCATATAGTAATTCATCCCCCCCATAGTAATTCATCCCCCATATAGTAATTCATCCCCCACATAGTAATTCATCCCCCATAGTAATTCATCCCCCATATAGTAATTCATCCCCCATATAGTAATTCATTCCCCATATTAATTAATCCCTCATATAGTATTTCATCCCCCATGGTACTATTCCCCCCCAAGTAGTAAGCCAAGTCCCCCCTGTGTCAATCCACTTACCTTTGCTCCGCGCGTTCCTCTCGCCGTGTTCCCGCGCCGTTCCGGTCTTCAGGGCGGACTGTGAGAGGAGAGGAGTTCGTCACGCTGCCCCGCCTACATCCTGGCTGCCCCGCCTACATCCTGACAGCTAATGTTCCACGCTCCGCGGGCCGGAATAAAAGGTCCGCCGGGCCGCTGCAGAGTCCTGGCTTTTGAGGCGGCCGCCCCGAGAGGAGAGGAGGGAGGGGAGCGGGCGTCCGGCACACAGAAGAGCCGCATGTGGCTCGCGATCCGCGGCTTGCCGACCACTGAAACCCTATTGCCTGTCACCTGGTGGGCAGTGTGCTCCGGAGCCGCAGCAAAGATGAAAAAGAGCCGCATGCGGCTCTGGAGCCGCTGGTTGCCGACACCCGGCCTAGACCATGTACACATAAGCATTTACAGGACGTATTTGAAGAGGAGTGTTTACAGGATGAAAAATAAAATTCCACCAAACGAGTGTTCTGAGAGTAGCTTTTGAGCAGAAAAAACGTGTAAACGTACATAAATGCGTGCATATGTGTATAAATGTATTCCAGTGGCCAGAATAAATTAATATTGTGGCCAATAGAATGCATTTACGTTCAAACACCATATGCGCTGTCAGACATCGCCCGGCGGATCTCTAGTGATCCACAGAACGGGATTCCCCAGGACGCGGAGTCTAATTCCCAGTCTGCCTTTTCACCCGATGGTGGGGATGGACTTGGTGCGAGACTGAAACCAGGTCGCGGCCCCTGAGTGCACCCAACTGTGGTAGAGGGGTCCCGCTGAAGGTATGTGCCAGGGGTGAGCCTGATGTGAAGAGGCTGACAGGTCCAGGTCCCGAGCGGGATGGATGGATGACAGTCAGGAGTGAGCGTGGTCAAACTAGCCGGGTCAGTAACGGTGGAGGCAGATAGGTACCAAGCAGCAGATGGAGAGTAGCCGGGTCACGAGCCAAGGTTCAGCAATGGGAGGTCCAATAATAATAAGGGCAGGCAGAGGAATAGTCAGGAATGAGCCAGGGGTCAGAGCAGGAGAAGGTCAACACGAATCAGAAGAGGCAGGGTCGGCAACAAGGAACGCACTTCAGGAACACAGGTAACAGGAACTAGACCTTGCGGCAATCTGAACACCGCCTGGCCAGTTTAAATAGTGTGCCCTGCACAGTCATTGGTGCCAGACGCGCGCCCGCGAGTGCGCATGCGGGGCCGCAATTGCCGCCGCGGACGCCCAGGTCCTAATGCCTGCACATTGGTGCGCCTAGGCAATCTGCGCATGCGCAGACCTGTGCGCCGCGGCGAGACCCACGGTCCCTGACATGTGCATACATCCCCACTTCCAAAGAGTTGGGAGGCTGTGCAAAGTATACATGAGAACAGAATGCAATGAAACTCATATTTTATTCATAAGAGAAAATAGAAAGCATATCAAATCTTTAAACTGAGAAAATGTACCATTATAAGAAAAAAAAATGTAATTTTGAAATTGATGAAAACAATATGTCTCAAAAAAGTCGGGACAGGGCCATGTTTACCATGGTGTAGCACCCCTTCTTCTTTTAACAACACTCTGTAAATGTCTGGGAACCGAGGAGACCAGTTGCTAGAGTTTTGGGGAAGGAATGTTGTCGCATTCTTAGCTGATATAGAATTCTAGATTCTTAACTGCCCTGGGTCTTCTTTGTCATATTTTAAGTTTCAACATGTGCCAAATATTTTCAGTTGGTGAAAGGTATGGACTGCAGGCAGACTAGCTAAGCACCCAGATTCTTCTACTACAAAACCATGCTGTTGTCATAGATGCAGTATGCAGTTTAGCATTGTCCTGCTGAAATATGCAAGGCCTTCCCAGAAAAAAGATGTTGCCTGGATGGGAGCATATGCTGCTCTAAAACCTGGATATATTTTTTCATCATTTATGGTGCCTTTCCAAATGTGCAAGCTCTCCATTCCATAAACACTAATGCACCCCCATAGCACCAGAGATGCAGGCTTTTGAACTGAGTGCCAATAACAAGCCAGAAGGTCCCTTTTCTCTTTAGTCTGGAGGACACAACACTCATGGTTGTCAAAAAGAATGTCAAATTTCAATTCGTCTGACTACAGAACAATTTTCCACTTTGCAACAGATTATTTTAAAAGAGCTTTGGCCCAGAGTAGATGGCAGCATTTCTGGATCATGTTCGGCTTTTTCTTTGCATGATACATGATGCTTTAACTTGCATTTTTGGAGGGCACAATGAACTGTGTTCAGACAGTGATTTTTGTAATTATTCCTGAGCCCATGCAGAGATGTCCATCACAGAATCATGACTGTTTTTAATGCAGTGCCATCTGAGGGCATGAAGATCACAGGCATCCAAAATTGTATTTCGGCCTTGTCTCTTGAGAACAGAGATTTCTCCAGATTCTCTGAATCTTTCAATATTATGTACTGTAGGTGATGATATATTTTAAAGTCTTTGTATGTTGAGCAACATTAAAATTGTTCAACAATTTTTTCAGAAGCAGCTTTTCACAGTTTGGCGAACCTATACCCTTTCTTACTTCTGAGACAGTCTCACTCTCTAAAACCCAATCATGTTACTGACCTCAATTATTTGAAAGAAATCTTGCGAGCCAAGTAATAAAAAATTCCTATTGTTGGATCGCAAACTTATAACACATAACTACCAATGTGAAAAAAGCGTGAAAATAAAAATGTAGTATTGCGCTCACAACCTTTCAATCTTATATATCTAGACAAATAAATGTGTATATGATATACATAAATGACTGCATTTGTGAATCTGTAAAAATCAACTCACATAAGCAAAAATAAAAAACACTGAACAGTTAAATAAAAAAGAAATAGTAATATAATATAATGATAATGTCCCATAGAGAAATAAGTGACTTTGTGCTGAAAAATCTTCAGTATCTTTAAATAGGTGACTGCTTGTGCCTCCTCCCTTAAGTGAAGATGTGCGCTCACCTCATGAATAGCCTGCAATTAGGCTATTAAAGCTTGCGGTTCACCTCCTTGGAACCTACTTGTTTAGGAACTGCTGTAGATGAGATAACCATGAAATGCGACATGTGTTGTAGAAAAATATCCTCTCACTGGGTGCCACTCCACTGTCTTCTTATTTCCATGCGGTTCTCCATAAATAAGAAAAATCCTGACATGGTGCTTTATCGTTTTTAAAAAAGCTTTAATTGAAGCTGACAGGTGGCACTCACATAAATCGTATAGTGGTAGTACAATTATCTCAGACCTCCGCTGACTGTCGGAGCTGTGCGCTCGTGGTCCGATGGCCGGACTGACTCCCTCCGAGTGACGTGAACAGTCCCACCCCTACGCGTTACGCCACCAATCACGTGGCTTCATCAGGGGGATTTGATTGGTCAATCACTCGTGAGCTGTCGGCTTATAAAGCACGGCTCCGCCATTTTGTTGGCTATCTAGTGGGGGCAGCCATTTTCCTATAGACATGTAGTGAATTATTAATATGACTGATAACCCTATACCCATCCCGGAGGGGTACCTGACGTCACTACTCCGCAGTCAGATCGAGGACTAAGAATCCATCACTTTATGGAATGACCCATAACACAGATTAATATTTAAAAAAGATATACAAATGTTACCAGATTTATGTGACTAATTGAATAATGAATTATAAATTTAAAAAAACTCATTAATTTGATCTATAATGACCAAACCAATGAATATGAAATATCCATATCATACATTTTATACAAATCAAATAGAAATGGCAAATAATAAAAATATTAATTAAATCAATGTTACAAAAAACATTGATAATCAATATGAATAGGATTACAAATATAATAAATGGAAAAAAATATAAAAATAAAAAAAAAAATAAAAATAAAATAAATATAAAATAAATATAAAATAAAATAAAAAAAAAAATGAAAATGAAAATACTTTAATCACAAATATGTAAAACAATCTAAAGTATATATATAGGTTGGAGAGTGTGCCCAGGCCGATATCAGGTGACATGCATGTACAACAACGTGGACAGCAACAGAGAAATGACGCAAATGAGGCGCTCATGGCGATGAACCATTTAGAGATCATCCCCATAGCATCAACATGCATGTCCACGTCCGCACATGCATCCTGAATGGACACGGGACACAGTCCCCAATCTACATATCACTAATAAAACATGCTAAATCAAAATCTTTGTTTAATCCTCCTGGTGCTAAACTACCCAACTCATAAATCCAGAATGATTCTTTTTTACTTATTTCACGTACTAAATTATCCCCTCTCCAGTGTGAGAAATGTTTAGTGATGCCCCAAAATTCAACTTTGTTTGCATCCTGATTATGATGCGTTTTAAAGTGTACTGATAGGTGATGGTATTTGAATCCTATCCCTCTCTCTATATTATGTAAGTGTTCCTGCATACGTTCTTTCAAGCTTCTTTTTGTGCGGCCTATATACAAGTAATTACAGGGACATTTTAAAGCATACACCACTCCTGTACTGTCACAGGACATGAATTGTTCTATTTTATATTGTTTACCATTCCTTGGATTGATAAAGAACTCTCTATGTTTTGGATTTAAATGTGTTTTCCTGCAGCTGTAACAACGTCCACATTTATAAAATCCAATTCCAGTGAAAAAACTTAAAGTAGTTTTCAAAGTTTGGGGGGGTTCTAACACATTTTTGACTATTCGATCACGGATATTCGGTGCTCTTTTATAAACAAACCTGGGTTGTTGTTGTTTAACTACATCTTTCAAGGTTTTATCAAGTTTGGAGTATGTTCCAGTGTTTGTTAATAATTTTCTGAACATCTCTATATTGTCTATTATATGGTAATATTTATAGATAATTCTTGTTCTTTAGTTCTAAATTTCTTATTTCCCTCTAGCAATGAAGTTCTATCTATGAGTTCTATTTTACTTCTTTCATCCAGTATCATTTCTTTTTTATAACCCTTATCTACAAACCTTTGGACAAGTATTTGACTTTGTATTCTATAATCTTCAATATTAGTGCAGTTGCGTCGTAACCTATAAAATTGTCCTCTTGGTACATTTTTGATCCATGGTCTGTAATGGCAGCTATTAACTGGGATATATGAATTACGATCAGTTTTTTTGAAATGGTTTTTTTGTTATTATCCCTTCATCTGTATTCATTAAAGTAAGATCTAAATAATGTATTATTTCTTTATTGATGTTCCAACTCAATACTATATTTTTAACATTCATGTTCAGATTCTGATAATAATCGATCAGTGATAATGTATCACCTTTCCACAATATTAAGATGTCATCAATGAATCTGCCATATAGTACTATATTGCTATTAACATTAGAGAAAACTGCTTTC